AGGTTAAGCTTGTAGAATTTATTTCGGCGTGACCTTCTTCGATTACCGATCTCGAAAGTTGAACAACATTCCCCGAGCCCGTATCATCTACCTCGACCGACGACCCCAAATTCGCAAGCGCATCGGCCTCATTATTCTGTTCCCGTGGTACATGCCGTAAAGTCCATTGTTTGAAATGGTGCAAAGTGACAAGCAGTTTATCTAAATACCTTTGCATTCTACCTTCTCGAACTTCGAAGGTTTTGTTTACTTGACTCACCACCAGCAAGGAGTCGCAATTGGCTTCAATGACTTCTGCTCCCAAGTTTCTAGCTAGCTCGAGACCTGCAATCATGGCTTCATACTCGGCCTCGTTGTTAGTCAACTTGATAGTTTTAATAGATTGCTTAATAGTGCTACCCGTGGGTGGTTTCAAAACTATGCCCAGCCCGGACCCTTTTACGTTCGAAGCCCCGTCCGTAAAAAGGATCCATACCCCTGATGATGTACCTGATTTCAACAGTTCTTTTTCGACTTCGGGTACGAGGGTTGGTGTGAAATCGTCCACGAAGTCTGCTAAAATTTGAGACTTGATGGTCATGCGGGGTTGATATTCGATATCATACCCAATGAGTTCGACGGCCCATTTGGCCAGTCGGCCTGATAACTCGGGTTTGTGCAAAATATTACGAAGCGGGTAAGTGGACAACACACATATGGGATGACATTGAAAGTACGGCCTTAACTTTTTTGAGGCGCTAATCAGTGCAAGTGCCAATTTTTCTAGGAGCGGATATCTAGTTTCCGCCTCTCCTAAGGTTCGACTCGTATAATAAACGAAAAATTGCGTACCTTGCTCTTCTCGAACTAGGACACCGCTTACTACGACTTCTGATACTGCCAAGTACAAACAAAGTTTCTCGTCTTTTTTTGGAGTGTGAAGCAGTGGTGGGCTTGATAGATATCGCTTTAGTTCTTTTAATGTTTGTTGGCACTCCGAGGTCCAAGATAAATCGTTCTTCTTTTTGAGTAGAGAGAAAAATTTATGACTTCGATCAGATGATCTTGAGATGAACCGGCTTAAGGCGGCAATCCGACCCGTTAGCCTTTGTACGGCCTTCACGATGTCCACAACGACGACGTCTTTGATGGCCTTGATTTTATCCGGGTTAATCTCTATTCCCCGATGTGACACCATGAAGCCGAGGAACTTGCCCGAACCGACCCCGAAAGCACATTTTTCGGGGTTGGGCTTCATGTTGTATTTCCTTAAAATCTCGAACGTTTCCTGCAAATGAGTTAAATGGTCCTCTGCGCGCAGGGACTTAACTAACATGTCATCAATATAAACTTCCATTGATTTTCCTATTTGTTCTTCGAACATTTTATTTTCTAGGCGTGGGTAAGTAGCCCCTGCGTTTTTTATCCCGAAGGGCATCATATTATAGCAATACGTTCCATATTTGGTGACAAATGAAGTCTTTTCCTGGTCCTCCGGTTTCATCTGGATTTGATTATACTCGGAATAGGCATCGAGAAAAGTGAGGATCTCATTGCCGGCCGTGGTATCGATCATGTGATCGATATTGGGCAGCGGAAAGGAATCTTTGGGGCATGCTTTGTTCAAATCCTTATAGTCCACGCACATTCTAAGTTTGTTCCCTTTTTTAGGGACTACAACTACGTTGGCTAGCCATTCGGGATATTTCACCTTCCGAATGGACCCTACTTTGAGAAGCTTGGTTACCTCATCCTTTATGAATGCGTGCTTTCTATCGGACTGGGGTCTTCTCTTTTGCTTCACCGGTCTGAACCTGGGGTCCAAACTTAGCAGATGCATCGTTATGTCCGGCGGGATCCCTATTATATCTAAATAGGACCAGGAAAAATAATCGATGTTATCGATAAGAAATTGAACGAGTTTCTTCTTGAGTTCAGGGCTCAACCCTGTTCCCAAGTATACCTTTCGCTCGGTCCAGTGCTCAATTAATATGACTTGATCTAGCTCATCGATCGTCGATTTTTTGGCGTCGGAGTCATCGGGAATCACGAAAGATCGAGGGACCCTTTGATCACCATCCTCTTCGATTTTCTAGTTGTCTGGCTGGGTTGAAGCCGATGTATGTGATTGCTATTTGGTGTCCTGTTCTCCTTCCGGGCCCGATCCTTTTATCGGCGAAAGTGAGGACACTGGTTTAGCTTCGTCGACGGCAAACATTTCTTTTGCGGCTGGTTGTTCTCCGTACACCGTTTTGACACCTCCCGACGTCGGGAATTTGAGGGCCTGGTGTGGGGTCGAAGGCACAGCTCTCATGTTGTGGATCCATGGCCTTCCGAAAAGGGCATTATATCTCATATCGCCTTCGATCACGTGAAACTTTATTTCCTGGATGGTTCCGGCCACGTTTATTGGTAGGACTATCTCACCTTTGGTGGTTTCGCATGCCATATTAAACCCGTTTAGGACCAGAGTTGCGGGTACGATCTGATCCTGTAGGTCGAGTTGCTCCACTACCTTCAATCGGATGATGTTGGCTGAGCTACCTGGATCGATTAACACACGCTTAATTTTAGTTTTATTCACGAGTACGGATATTACCAGTGCGTCGTTGTGAGGTTGGATGACTCCCTCTGCATCTTCATCATCAAAGGACAGAGTCCCCATGGTTGCGTAATCTTGAGTCCAAGATCGCTTTTCCCTCACCATCGATGTTTTATTGCGTTTAAGCATTGGTCCCTGAGGGGTATCGATGCCGCCGATGATCATGTGGATGACATGCTGCAGTTCTTCTTGCTTGTTTTGCTTGTTGAAATACCTACTTCTAAAATGGCTCTTTGCCCTATCACTCAGAAACTCCCGAAGGTGCCCTTTGTTAAATAAGCGAGTTATTTCCTCTCTTAGTTGCTTGTAATCTTCCGTTCTATGGCCATGGGTACCATGATATTCGCACGTTTGATTGGGATTTCTTCGGGCAGGATCGGTCTGCATTGGTCGAGGCCATTTAGTGTCTTTGATGCGTCCGATGGCCGACACGAGAGCGGATGCACCAACGCTGAAGTTATATTCTGATAATCGAGGTACTTCTATAGGATCGGCATATTTATCGAAGCCGCTCTTACTCATAAGCCCCTGAGAATTTTGTCCTCGATCAATCCTTCGACTGTTCCGAACTGCGTTGCGTGCTGAACCGTTGTTCACCCGATCTGCGATGTACGGTCGATATCGGTCTCTGTTCGACCTTTGTTATCTGTCGATTTGCTTTTGATTTTTAATAACTGTCCTGTTCTGATGAACGGGTCCGTACGGGGCTCCCGACTGATCATCCTCGACCCTAATTTTTGATTGATATCGGTTGTGCACATCTGCCCAAGTTACCGCTGGATACTCGATCAAATTTTGTTTCAGCCGATGTGATGCTGTCGAACTTAGCTCGTTCAACACTTGGGTGAAGGCTTGTACGGCCCAGTCATCTGTGACCAGGGGTAATTCCATGCGTTCCATTTGAAATCGGGATACGAATTCCCTCAGCATTTCATCCTGCCTTTGCTTTACTTTGAAGAGGTCTGATTTCCTCGTTGCAACCTTTATGGCACCAGCATGTGCCTTTACGAATGAATCTGCTAACACGGCAAAAGAATCGATGGAATTTGGCGGTAAATTATGGTACCAGATCATAGCTCCGTTCGAGAGGGTCTCCCCGAACTTTTTCAACAGCACGGATTCGATCTCATCGTCTTCCAAATCGTTGCCTTTTATGGCACATGTGTAAGAGGTGACATGTTCGTTAGGATCGGTCGTACCGTTATATTTGGGAATTTCGGGCATACGGAATTTTTTGGGGATTGGCTTCGGTGCCGCACTCGACGGAAAAGGCTTTTGTATGAATTTTTTTTAATCAAGCCCCTTTATCATTGGTGGAGCCCTCGGAATTTGGTCGACCCTGGCATTGTATGTTTCCACCCTCTTGTCGTTGGCTTCGACTCATTTTGTGAGTTCCTCGAGCAATTTAGTAATTCCGGGAGTAGTCCCCGATTCTTGCTCGTTAGATTTCACTATGGCAGGCTCTGTTCTGGGGGTGACTTCTCGAAATGGATTGGAAACTGGCCTTCTTTGTGCGCGAGTTTGGCTTTATAGCTGAGCTATCGCTACTTTTTGGGCTTGCAGCATCTCGAAGATCATACGTAAGCTTGCCCCGATTTTCCCTGGGTTTTGGGTGTCTCGGGCTACGGATCGAGTACCGCCCTGAATGCTTCTTTCCGGTTCGGAACGCTGGTTTGCCTCCAAAACTATTTGTGAATTGACATCCAATGGTATTTCGGCTCGAATTTTGGGTACTTCGATTCGAGCCTCGGATGCCAAGTTGTTGGTTTCATCTTGAAGGCCGGCTTCGTAATCGATCGGTGGTTATTCGTAGCTGATCCGAAATTCAAGATGTTTTCGGAAATAAGTGCAAAGCACAATGGCGTGTTTTTTTAGATTTGTATCAAATGACCACTGTTATCCTCGGCCCCACGGTGGGCGCCAAACTATTTACCCGAAAAATAGATAGAGTTGAATTTATACGCAGTTCCGAGGATATGTGGTGTAACTTGATACAAAATGCAAGGATAAATAATAATGTAAATGTAGATTGGAGAGAATGCAATCTAGATAAGGTTATCAAGAACAATGAACCTTAGGATTCGACAAATAGAATCAATCTAAGAAATTGAAAGAGCAATTCTTTACTGTAGAAGAATATAGTATTTTTATTACAATGTAAGTCTCAGAAAACTTGTCCTACAGAAATGATAATCAATCCCTTTTATAGTGGAGGGATTCGGCTCCAAGCATAATAAAATAAATATTCAGTGGGAGACCCATGATAAGTCAGCTTTTCCATAATTTCTGCCAAGATTCTCTCTAATGGGATTGCAACGACTTTTGTCTGCGAGCTCGATCTTGCTTAGAATCCTCGATTTTGGTTTGAGCTTGATTTTGGCTCGAACTTGTGATCTTGGTTCGAGCCCGATCCTGGTTCGAGCCCTCGAATTGATTCCAGGTCAATGTTGGTTGGTCTCTAGATTATCAGCACGATAGGTCTACCCTGCATCATGGTTCGATTCTTATTCGAGTTTGATTATGATATCGATCTCGACACGGACCGGCCTCCCCGGGTTCGAGGTTAGTTCGTCCCCCCTTCGGGATCTTATTTCGATACATTACCCTTCGAACTCGATCGGACATGTCAAGGCTGAAATCTATTTTGATTGTATACGAGTCTCTGTACTCCTTTGGGGTAGGGGTAAGGTCTGCGTACACACTACCCTCCCCAAATTTCATTAATGGAATTTTACTGTGTTGTTGTTGTAGTAGTAGTAGTATTTTAGATTGTACGGGACAAATTGACCCTTTTTCGCTTTATTCTATTCCTACTTCCCTATATATATAATCCCCGACCTTACCCATTCCCCCATTAACAACTATCTCAGCTCAACTCTATATCCATCACTAATTCCTCCATATTTTCACGCACTACACACACTACTACTCGAAGAAAACACCTTTCATTTTCATCTTCTTTTCTTTTATTCTTTCACAAAGCAAAGAAAAAAAAAACTAGAGATTATGGGTTTTCCACTAGGCTACACGGACATGTATCTTCCCAAATTACTCCTTCACATTATAACAATTTTGGGTTTCATTAAAAAGCTCATTTCCACACTATTTACGCTTTTGGGCCTCGAGGATTTTCTCGAGCCCGAATTTTCATACCTGGCCGGACCCGAATCCTGTTCGGAGCCCCGGTTTCACTCGGTGTCGGCGGCGTTGATAAGGGAGATTTTACCAGTGGTGAAGTACTCGGAAATAGTGGACCCGCCGGAGAAGTGCGCGGTGTGTCTGTACGAGTTCGAGTTGGACGATGAAATCAGACGGCTGAGAAATTGTAAGCATGTGTTTCATCGGAGCTGTGTGGACCATTGGATGGATCATGATCAGATGACGTGTCCGCTTTGTAGAGCAGGTTTTGTACCAGATGATATGATGGAAGTTTTTAACGAGAAGTTGTGGTTGGCTTCTGGAGTTTCTAATTATTATGAAGAGTATTCATATATTGCTTCTGGTTTGTAGTGGTCATAGTATTTTGTTTAAATCTGTCCGCTTTTGGTGGTTGTGATTTGATAGGGTAAAAATTATAAAATATGTATATTATAAGAGAAAAAAAAGTTAAAAAAAAGATGTTATGAAAATATTATATTATGGATGGTCATTAATTACTCCGCTATAGATAATTTTCCTGAAGAAAATTATTCATTTAGTACTCTGTTGAAGTTTATCTACAAGCAGCTGATACAGACAGGTTGCAAGCAACTCAATGAAATAATTTGCAGCAGCTTCTTATTAAACAGGCAGGTTGCAAGTAGCTCATGCAGACAGCTTACAAGTAGCTGATGCAGACAGGTTGCAAGCAACTCAATGAAATAATTTGCAGCAGCTTCTTATTAAACAGGCAGGTTGCAAGTAGCTCATGCAGACAGCTTACAAGTAGCTGATGCAGACAGGTTGCAAGCAACTCAATAAAATGATTTGCAGCAGCTTCTTATTAAACAGGCAGGTTACAAGCAGCTCATGCAGACAACTTACAAGTAGCTAAAGAAAAGCCTTGCAGCTGCTTCCTGAAAAGTCTCGCAGTTGCTTCCTTTCTTCTATAAATAGAGGAGTTTTCAGTTCATTATGAATATAACTTTGAAAGTTGAATAAAATATCAATCTCCCTATATACTTGTCTTCAGTTTATTTCTTTTATAGTCTTTATTTTATAACACGTTATCAGCACGAGATTTTGCCATTTTGAGCACTTACATCGAATTTAATTTCTATTTCAGTGTTCATCTCCGATGTAAGGCGACACTTTTATGTCCGTGGTCAGATCTTGTTCATTCCGAGCATCATAAGGCAGATTATATCCTTGAGGTGGTGAGTTTTTCTTCTTGGCGGTAGTGATGTAGATATCACTTACATATGGAGTGGCCAAATTTGTGTAATTTAATTTGAGCTTTTTGCTTATATTTTAATATCTTTATCATCGCTTGCTTGGTTATATATTACGTATACAGTACCAATTTTGGTATTTATTTTCATCCTTATTATCTTAATAAAGGATTACAAAGTGGATAATATTGCTAGATCCACTTAACTCCAGCAGAGTTTGCAAGAAACATACAACCACCAGAAGTGGTTATATTTCGTATATCTCATTGTAACTAAATTTTGTTAACCACCAGAAGTGGTATATGCATATGACCACCAGAAGTGATAATTTAGGCTTTCTATGGTTACAATTAAAGATAAGCTAGAGAAATATTTTTTATATTACATGCACGCCTCGATTTGCTCCTGAAGTAGTAAATATTTTAAAAGAGGTTGAAGCATCACAATTTGATGTGATTAATGCGCGTTCAGATAATTATGTTCGATTTCCTGAAGGATGAGAATTTTTGATAAATATTAATCTATTCTCTGAAGTGAATGTGATAATATTAATAAAGTCGTAAATATGAACGCGCTCTTGTTGTAAATATATTACAATTCACCTCCAGAAGAGTTAATATGATTGAGAGAATATATACTTAATATTTCATATTTCAAATTTGCTCCTGAAGAAGTAACACAATTGGAATTTCCTCCTGAAGTAGAAAAATATTTTGAAGCAGTATCTTTATGTGCTTAAACAAAATAATGAGCTATTCAAAGTTATTTTTGAAGAATATTTTCGTTCCCTTGAGTGAATGAAGAAATACCACAACTCACCTCCTGAAGAGGTAGAATAATAGAGGATATAAATATTATTTTTGTAGCATAAAGATCATTGCCACACGTACTTGTTGTACGTAAAACATCTTGAATAATTTTATTAAGTATCATTCTAAGGCAAAAGCATTCTTGTAGAATGCTTTATACTACAACCACATTAATATATTATGGTTAGTTATTGAGTTCCCCGAAGGAAATAACAACTCGTGTATCTTTCCTTAAAAGATGCAATGACTATGTGATTGTCGTATTGATACAAAATATTAAGATGTTAATGATATTTTTCCTTGAAGGAGATATTTGTCACAAAGTTAGTGGTAGAAATATTAAAATTCTTAATTTTCGTCATTTATAATATTAGAATTATTCATTTGATTATGATTTTCTCTCATGACCCCAGAAGTGTTTGAGCAATATTTGGTAGTACAACAAAAGCTCCTGAAGAGCTAACTGTTTGTCTAGAAGACACATGACACAAGTAGTGTCTGAATAATACTTGATTGTGGACAATAAATGGAGGGCTCCCGAAGAGCTTGTTTATCATTAATGTGGTCAAAACATATATTATGATAAACTGAAATTTACTAATACATATGACTAACATGCTGAGACTACAAATTATTGAAAGATTGAAAATCTTCATGTTTCCACAATCATATATGGTAAATATGTATGTGAGAAGATACCTGCTTTATTCTTCAAATTTGTACTATATCATATATCACAATATACCAGAAGTTTACTGATACAAAAGTAGCCACAGTAAATCAGAAGTTTACTGATGCAAAAGTTTATGCCATAGTAAACTAGAAGTTTACTTAGAGATAGAACATACCGTGATAAACTTGAAGCTTTAATTTACCATTTTTAAATGAGCTATTTGAGAATTCATATAAGCATATACTGAAGAACTAGAAGATTCTTCAAGAATTTTTTTGTGTTGCTTGTTCTCATAATAACTTGATTATACCATCTAAAGTTGGGACTAAAATCCCTGAATTCTGAAATATATAAAAGATGAATATGGGTCCATTCACCCATCATGTGAACCACTTATAGATGCATATATAAGATGGTTACATGTATGTTTATTGTCAACCTGCAGTTTGGCATTTGAAATTGTATTTCTCAATTAAGAGCATAATTTTTAGATTATTAAATCAAGATAGTTCATCTTGATGATGCTGGTTTATATCCAAGCTAGTTTAGCATTGAATACCTCCTATTAATGGCTAAACTATTGCTTATGAGAACAAAGCATCATGTGTTGGTCTAAAATTTTCTAAATTGCATACAGCAGCACTTGTATGCATCAGACCAACAAAATATGATAAATCCTCCCCTCACAATTGGATTAGGATCAAAACCCAAATATTTTTACTATCTAATAACTTTTGATGTGTGGTATATGATTAATTTCTCTACCACAATGCACAAAGATATGTTTCCCAAAGAAGATTGGGGATATGAGTTAGTTTTTCTAACATTTGGGGGATAGAATAAAATAGCTGGAAAATATATTATATGAATCGAATTATCATTAATATGATCCTCGCTTAGAAGATAATTCAAATCAAATGCCAGAAGCATTTGTTGATCCAAAATTAAATATTATATTTCAGATGCAAATGCTCCTATTAAAATTAAAGTCCTTAAAGGATAGAGTTTATTCTACGCATGAAGCGTGGTAGACCAATCTGTTCCAAAGGTAACAATCCTTGAAATGAATAGGAGCAAATGATCAAAATGATCATAATAAGGAGGAAATAAGCTCTAGAAGAGCCCACGATATAACATTTCATGAAACTCCAGAAGAAGTTTAGGTACCTGAAAATAAAGAAAGTGATGAGATCTCAACAAGTTATGTCGTTTGTGAACTGATACGAAATGATCGTCGACGATATATTTGATACAATATAGTGCACAATATTGTAAAAGGTTGTGAGGATCGGACCTGTAGTCCAGACACCTGAAGATGTTATGGAATTTAATGTAAGTCATAACCTATATAACTCATTTGATTAATTCTATATGAAGATCCCTGAAGGATTTAAAATGCCTGAAGTAAATTCAAAATCTCGGAAAATGTATTCAATCAGATTACAAAGATCTTTATATGGTTTAAAGCAATCTGAGCGCATATGGTATAATCGCCTTAGTGAATATTTGTTGAAAGAAGGTTACATAAATGATGTTATTTGTCCATATATTTTTATAAATAAAATGGCATCAGAATTTGTTATACTTGCTGTTTATGTTGATGACATAAATCTTGTTGGAACTCCAGAAGAGCTCCAAAAGGCAATTGAATATCTTAAGAAAGAATTTGAGATGAAAGATCTTGGAAAGACAAAACTGTCTTGGTCTGCAAATTCAACATTTAGCAGATGGGATCTTTATCCATCAATCTGCCTATACATAAAGGGTCTTAAAATACTTTTACATGGACGAAGCGCACCAATTGAGTACACCAATGATTGTTCGATCACTTGAAGTAAATAAGGACATGTTCCGACCTCCAGAAGAGGATGAGGAACTCATTGGTCCTGAAATACCTTATCTCAGTATAATTGGGGCACTTATGTATCTTTCTAATGCTACAATGCCTGATATAGCATTTTCTGTTAATTTACTAGCAAGATATAGCTCTTCTCCTACACTGAGACATTGGAATGGGATTAAGCATATATTGCGATATCTAAAGGGAACTCTTGATATGGTTTTGTTTTATGCTAACAAAGGTAGTGCAAATCTTTTTGGTTATGCAGATGCAGGTTATTTATCCGATCCCCATAAAGCTCGATCTCAAACCGGGTACGTATTTACATGTGGAGGTACTATCATATCATGGCGCTCCACAAAGCAATCTAATGTTGCTACTTCTTCAAATCATGCTGAGATAATAGTTATTCATGAAGCAGGTAGGGAATGCGTATAGTTGAGATTAGTGATTCATTTCATTCGAGAAAAATGTGGTTTGGAATGTGATAAAAGATCCACAATTTTATACGAAGACAATGTTGCATGCATAGTCCAATGAAATGGAGGATTTATAAAAGGAGATAAAACGAAGCACATTTCACCAAAATTATTCTACACATATGATCTTTAGAAAAATTTTGACATTGATAGGGTATTCATCTACACATTATGGAAGTTTTTAACGAGAAGTAGTGGTTGGCTTCTGGAGTTACTGATTATTATGAAGAGTATTCATTTATTGTTGTTGGTTTGTAGTAGTCATAGTATTTTGTTTAAATCTGTCCGCTTTTGGTGGTTGTGATTTGATAGGGTAAAAATTATAAAATGTGTATATTATAAGAGAAAAAAAAGTAAAAAAAAAAGATGTTATGAAAATATTATATTGTGGATGTCCATTCATTACTCTGCTATAGATAATTTTCTTAGTACTATGTTAAAGTTTATCCACAAGTAGCTGATGCAGGC